AAAAAAAAAAAAAAAAAAAAAAAAAAAAAGTCAAAAAAGTTTAAGATCAGTGGATGATCCCCCAAATACACGTGCTCTGTTCCGAGACAGCTGAGTGGCATTGGTGGTTGGGATTTTTCCACCACTGCCAGTCACTAAATCCTTCGTAAGCATTTTTTGGGGGGTGCTGCAAATTTAGGCAAAGCATCCCTCCACAGCAACAGGTGTGAGAATGGCATATTGATAAAGTGATTTCTTTGTTGCCTGTCCGTGAATGACTGCCATTTTCAGCCAATGCTTTCCCTGCTTTTGTAGGTACCTTTTTATTTTGCTGTTTGTAAATAGTGACCAAATGTTTTTGTTGGGTTTTTTTGGGGTGTTCCTTTGGATCTGGTTTGTGGGGTGAATTTGCAGTCCCCTCCTCTCACCCTTCCCTGCCCTGTGTGTTGTGTGTTTTCCTTTCTGTTTGTTTTTGGGTTTTGTTTTTTTTTGGCTAGGGTATAGCCAGTACACTGAAAATGGCAGGCATTTAAATATATATATAAATATATATAAAAAAGTGTTCCTAATTCCTGAGTTACTAGTGAAATGAATTTGACAATTGTAATAAAAAAAATGTTTCAACCCTTTTAAATAAGGTGTGTACTATTTTGGTCTGTAATATATAACACCTAGTCAATTTTAAGTGATGAGAAACTACTTCCACTTGTGCTATATACTTTGAAAATTTTTACAAACCTAAATACAGGAGGCAGTTCAGCATGTAGGGTAGGAGGTTTCTTTTCATACACTCAAGCACGAGATACTAATACAAAATTGTATTTTCTTACCTAGTGGAAGTCAGTAAAATGACTGAAAATACCTAGTGAATGTACAGTTTTACTTTCATATCCCTCTTTAAAATAGCTTTAGAAGTGACTTGTATTTCCTAGTCAATATTTCATCTGTATAAATACATTTGCAACAGTTTTTTTTTTTTTCCCAGAAGAGCCAAACTTTGAGTTTTATGTCTGTTTGTCATTGATGAATTTCAATAAATCTTTTTATACAATTTTTCTGTGGCTTATTTGAGTAAAATGGGCCACTGGGAAGGAGTTGCATACCTTTTCAAAAAGGCATTTACTAAGCTATTCTGGTGAATTCCCTGATATTTTTAGTAGCTTGATGATATGTTCTGCTTCATAAAAATGACTTTTGGCCATGGTTGGTTGAAGCCAAGGGAGAGGTTGTGGCTTTAATGCAAATAATGGTATGCCATTTTTCTTTCAGAATGAGGCTTTCTTCTGTGTTACCAGCATGATTATCGCAGTTAAGCACGTTCATTTCTCCTGTTTGATCCTGCCCCTGCTTCTCCAGGCTGAGAAGAAAGAAGTCTCAATTTCCCTTGCTGGAGTGCAGTGCTGTGGTTTGGTGTGTGAGTTCTGGGTTAGTCTTATCTCAGAGCTTTGGCTGTCCAAGACAAGAGCTGTCTGCTGTGACTTTCTGCCAGTCCAGAGCTAAGTCTCTGCGTTTTCCTCTCTTGTGAATGCATTGTGTATTAAAGCCAATGGTGTAGCAAGTAGCATATTCTGCATGCTTAAAATTAGGTTTCTATCCACTGTTCTGTCTTGAGTGGATCTCTTTTGGAAAAAAAAAAAAATGCTTTTATTGTAGGTGAGAAGCTACACTATCCTGAAGTGCTTGTGTCAGGTGGGTTTTTTTGAAGAGGAAATCTGGGCAAACTGTTCCTTCCCCAGGCAGGATCTGCTGCTGTGATACTGAACCCGTGGCCTGGCAGAGGCTGCAAAGCCAACAGGATCCGCCAGCCCTGGGTATGTCAGGGGCAGGATGACAGCTTGAGCTACAGCCCGAACAGAGACCTTCTGTCACTAAACCAGCTTAGTCTAAGGCTTCAGTTTGGCTTTATAGTGAGGAACAGGTTTTGCAAAGATGTGGCTTTTTACCTCAGGGGTGGGCAGAGCTGGACCTGACGTTTGCTGCAGGAGGAGCCTCTGCAGGTCCCCAAGATGCAGTAGCGAATGTCCCTGTTGGGTGCAGAAGGTGTGGGCTCATGCCATGAAGCCAAAGTGACATTTGGTTTAGCCTTTGTCACCCAGGGCTCTCGGCGAGCCACTGCCAGCCTGCAAAACATTTTTACTTCTTGTCCTGAAAGTGTGCAGAAATCCTTGAGCTTTTCCCCTTGTTTAAGCAGTGAGTGCCCCAGGTGTCATTTAAATTACTCTTTGTACCATTAATTGTTTTAAAGCTTAATTTGGAATTAATTATTTTCTCAAATAAAGCAGTAAGAGCTTTACCACTCATGCTTGCTTTCCCTGGGAAGCAGAATCCTTTTGGCAGTGCAGTGCTGCTGGAGCCCTGGTCCTCTAGGATACGAGAGGGAGAAGAGTGGGGGGGATCTGATGAACAGCAAGGCTGGGCTGTGAGTTTTGAGAGACTAAGTGACTTCTGCCTGGCTACTGCCACTGAAAACAAAAATGAAGATTGCTCAATGTGGATAATTTCATGTTTCATGGTATAGAATACAGTCTTGTCACACTGGGAACCAAGGGCTTCTTTTCCCAAGTGCTCTGTGTGTACATAAGTGCTGGCTAAAGATACTTAGCACCTCGCAGTGATACTTAGCAACTTACCAACTCCTGGAAAAAACCCAAACCTCAGTATTTTATAACAGTTCAGCAGGAAAACCCAGGTAGAAATACTGTCAGAAATGAATAATGAGAGAGTTCAGCTGTTCAAATGCCAAGTTTTTGTGTCACTTGGCTCTTTCTGCTCACAATTTGCCTTCCAACCAGGCAGTAATTTGAAGAGCTCTGGTCATGCAGCCGTCCAGGGCCAAGGGATCTGCCTGGACTGGGACCAGGGGGATGGAGTCTGCTGTTCTCCAGGCACCCAAACTATTCTCTTTTGTACGTTTATCCTTATGTGTGACAGGAAACTTGCTTGACCTGGAACTTGTCAGGTGCTGGTGAAAGGTTCTTCATGGAAGAGCAGAGCCCTCCCTTGGCTTCCATTTTGGAGAAGTTCCAAGAGTTTCTTCCTGGGATGCTTTACTTTACCACACTGCCCTGAGCCTGTTCTAAAGCCCAAACTGCCTAAAATGTCCTGCCAGGGCTTCCCAGCCTTGTTTGTTACCCCTCGTCACAAACACCACCTCTCCTGTGTTGCTCAGGGTTGTGCAGTGCCTGTCAGTGTACCCAAGCTGGGAACAAGATGCTCTTGTCCAGAATAGTTATGTGCCAAGCTGAACGTATGGGGACTGCAAATCCATATAAGTCTTAATAACATAATGGCCTACATGTTTGCATTTCTGGCACTCTCGAGGGTGGCTTCTCCTTGGTTGATTTGATAATACTTTCTTGGACCTGAACTGTTTGTAGTGGTTAAAGCAAGGGCATGGGGCTCTGGTGAAGGGCAGGAAGGCTTTCCAAGCCCAAATGTTTGTCAACATGAGCCAATTATGCAGGAGGAGACAACTGCTGGCCCAGCTGAGCCAAGGCTCTGTCTGGACACTGTGGTACATTCTTAAAACTTAACAATTTGTGATGGTTGTTGCCCAAGGTGGGATTGGTGGCTTGCTCAACCACATACATATCATGATGACTTTTTGAGTTGAGATTTGAGATGGAGGGAGGCAAATCTGCTGGTCTGCAGCCTGCAACAACTGCTCGGCCTTGCCAAAAGTGTGTTCCCAAAGCAGCAAGTCTGGGGTCCTACTCTGCGCTGCGATGCTTTGGTTGTATTAAATTGCTGCCCCGGCTCTCTGCAGAACAATCGCTGCTTCAAGTCTTACACTTATCATTAAAGATCTTATGTTTCAGTAAGAATGAATCACCCTATGCTGAATTTAGAAATTTAGATATCTCTGATGAGTACAGGCCTCAGCCCTAGGAGGGAGAGGGCTGAGGATTTTCATGCCCTGCCATTAAGGGAAGTGAACTGCTGAGTCCTGGTGAAGGACCAGACTGCCTTGAGCTCATCCTGAGGGGAAAAAAAAAATCACACTTCTGGCAGTGGTGCCAGCTCTGGTTGCTGATGTCTATGTGCTGATAGACCTCTGCCCGCTGCCAGCATGGGGCCTGGGTGGGGGCAGTGGCCGTTTGCAGCTGGGGAGGACACTCCAGTGCAAGGTTTGCAGTGAGGGGAACCCCCCCAGCCCTGTGGGTGCTGCCCTTGCTGGAGGCTGGTGGCAGGTAGGCCCAGGGGCAGGACTGTTATGCTTTCCTGGTGCCCAAGGCAGCTGGCACTGCTTTCCCTCAGCATCCCTGCTCACTGCTTTCTTCTGTTCTTGCAAATAATTCCTCCCACCTCACGGGACAGAGCTGGGAAAGCTCTCCATCTCCTCCCTCCCGCCCAGCTGCAGCTGACGAAGGCCTCCTTCACGGCGGAGGAGTTGCACAGGAGTCGGCCCTGCATAACCCACAGCCTTCGCCCTTTTCTGGGTGAGGCTCTGGCAGTGCCCTGAGCCCAGGAAGCACCGAGGGAGGATTTAAATATTCAGCTGCTGGTTTGCTTCATGTGTTGGGCAAGGGGATGAGGGAGGGGGTATTAATGCTGTTGGGGAGTAAGCACGGGGTGGGCTGGAGGCAGAGTACATGTGTGATTTGGGAGCTGCAGTTATCAATCCCCTTTTAACTGGAAAGCTTGACCACTTTTTCTGCCCCAGCATCTCCCATTAACTCTTACCAGTGCATCTCCAATGTACTTTGCTGTTCTGTTCTCCAGGCACCCAAACTATTCTTTTGGCATTCATCCTTATGTGTGGCAGGAAGTTTGCTTTACGTAGAACTTGTCAGGTGTTGGGGAAAGGTTCTTTATGGAAAAGCAGAGCCCTCCCTTGGCTCCCATTTCAGAGAAGTCCCAAGAGTTTCCTTCTGCGGTGCTTTATTTTGCCACGCTATTCTGTTCAGCTCAGCAGCTCTTGCTTGGTCCAGACAATGTCCCTGTGTGACTCTTCCACTATCAGCTGGTTCTTTGCTCCTGTCATAAGCCAATAAAAACCCAGCAAAGACATTTTTGGCATGACTTTTAACTCTTTCTCTTTGGAGTTTTTATTTTTCTGTTACACTTGGACACTTGCCAAAGGTGTGTGGAGAAGGGAGGTGGCACAGGGTGAGTGTTTCACCCTCAACATCCTCTCCTGAGAGCGTGCAGCAGTCCTCGCTCCGAACATCACAACTTCATTGCAATTGTTAATTTTACTGTGATTTTCCCGGTGCTTTCAAAAGTTGCTGCCCAGGCAGTAGGACAGGCAATGGGGTGTTTTCTTGCTGAGCCCTTATGGAACATCTGGAGCAGCAATATCTGGCTGAAGCGGGTATGTCCTAGCGGATAGGTCCATGTGGCACGTGGCCAGTGCCCGGTGCTTGCCAGGATGCCCAGAGACGCAGCCAGCCACTGCACAAATCCTGGTGTAGTTTCAGCACCAAATTCCCCTTTTGGTTTTTGAAAGCACCCAGGAGGGGATGGGGAAGTTGGTCTCTGGGGCTTACTTTAGGGCAAAAGGCAGCAGTGCATCATTTCTAAAAATGGACTAAATTTGTAAGAAATTTCTAATAATTTTTTGCTTTGGGGGGGTTGAGGTCCCAACCTAGGGTCCCCGAGTGTGCAGCTGGAGCTGTGAGTTCAGTGAGTGCAAAGCACCCCTTGATTTTAAGGATGTCAGAAAAAGGAGGGACCAGCACTCATCCTCTGCAAATCACTGGGAAGCTTCCATTTAATTAAAGTAAAACCCATAGTGGCTTCTCCTCTGCATTTGCTTAATTTTAGATTTCTAAAAGCAGATTTTATATCTTCATCCATAAATTCGGGGGGGTGGGGGGTGTTTAATCACCAGAAATCATTTCAAGTAGGCACTCACAAAATGTTGGAAAACAGAGAATTAACAATAATCCTGCAGCTAGGAAGCATATGAGGAGGCCGAGCCTCAAACAAAGGGAAACCTCCAGGAAGCAGAAAGTAGGTCAGGTTGATAAGGATGAGCACAGAGGGACAGCATTAATATGGAGGGGAAAAAACGAAGTAGGAAGGAAATCACCCCATGGCCCTATTTGAACAAGGAAGGGGCTGTCTCCTGTGGCCAGCCAAGATCTTTAAGCCTTTTCCCTTAAAACCTTTTATCCCTGAAGATGTCATCTGTGAGGGAGAGGTAATTGCAATTAGCAGGAGTACAGGAAGGGTGAGACCTCAGCCTGGATTTGGGCAGGGACAGCTTGAAAAATGCTGCAGATAAATTGGATGGTTTTGAATTGTTGAGGCTGGATAAAGTTTGTGGAGGGGCTGGTCCTGGGGAGGAAGGGATCAGCTCTGTTAATACTGCAGGGCCAAGGAGCAGCTTTAATGTCTGCAAGGATATGAGAAAAAAAAAATGCTGGGAGGTTACAAAGCCAGGGGTCTCGTTTAGACCCTGGAAAATACTGCAAACTACCCAGAAGCATCTAAAAAAACCCCGCAGCAGAAAAGGGCAGAGTTCCCCAGAGCCCCAAAAGCAGTGGGGTGAGGGGTGGTGCAGTGGGTCCTTGCAGCGATGCAGGGTTTGCACCCAGCTGCACGGGGCCCCTGCTCCGTGGTTGACTCATAAGGTTGCAGCAGTGCAGGGAATTCAGTGCTAAAATTGGGTGTATCAAGTGGCCCAAAAATAGGCCTTTCTGCTTTAAATAGCACCCAGATGGTGCAGGAGGAAATGTCGGGAAGAGCTCGAGCTGTTACCAAGAGAGGGGAGTTTGGGGGGAAAGGTGCAAGAAGAGAAGCAGCAAGATCCTGGTGAAGGGTTTGCCCTGGGACTGCATGGCCACAGCTCAGGCTGGAGGTTTTTTGGTGAATCTAAACCATGTCGGGAGCCTTGACACCCACACAGAGCCATCCTGTGGGGCCACATCCTGCACCAGCCGCCTCTGCACACTGAGACATCCCCCTCACCTGCAGCAGAGGTGGCAACCGCCACTGGATTGGTGCTGATGTTTGCAGATATGCTAATTAGTTCATTAATCATCACGACCCACAGCCATAATGGGGCTCATTTCATATCAATTCAAGGGGCTTTGGAGAAATGCTGGCTCTTCCCTTACAAGAGGTAATTTAGTGCAGTAAGTCCCAACACACCCCCTTCAAATAAAGCCATGACATAAATAACCTCAAACAGGACGAAGCCTTTGCTGCTCTGCACAAAACAGCCAAGCTGAGCTTTTAACAGTGGTTTCACCTTCCAATTCTGAGACACGATAAACCCAGGAAACTCCAGTCCTGACACTGAATGATGGCCAAAAATGCCCCTTTAGGTCCCACCCCCCCTTCTCAGATGGGGGCCAGTGCTCCTGCACAGCCCCTCAGCAAAGAAAGGAAAGAGTGGGCAAGGTTTAGGTATCTTGAAAACATTTTATTTCATCACTATTCTGTAGTAGCATAAATAATAGGCAATGACAGCACATGTAACAAAGAGGGGGAAGCAGTGGGTGCAGGGCACAATGTAAATTAACGGAGAGGAGAAACTGGTGCACTGGTAGTGCTGGGCAGTTCAGCAATTTGATTTAATGAAAATATATATATATATAGGTAAACTAGCAGTATTTGGTGTCGTTCCCTGTGCCACAGGCCTAATCCACAAAAAACAGTGATTGTACACACATGGTGAACCTATGAAGCACCCCCTGGGTGCTGGGATGCGATGCGTGGCATCCTTCCCCCCCTCCCCACAGCACTGGCACATGTCCCAGGGGAAAGGAAGAGGGTAAATCCCTCTTTGCAGAGGCAGAGGGTGCAAAAATCCATCTCTCCTTTTCAGAAATGCAACCTCTTTTTATTATTTAAAGAAGGATATATGCACACAGATGCACGCACAGAAGTGGAGTAGCTCCCTGCGCCAGGCTGGTGCCCCAGGACACTCACAGGCCACTTGTGCCGGAGCCCACTGGGCCATGCCATGCCATGACCACGCCGCCCCGGGAAGGCTCCTGGGCTGCCACCGTGGCAGCGTGTTTTTTCTGCACCCCGTTCCAGTTCTGCACCCGCTGTCACATTTTTGCATAGGAAAAAAAATTAATAGCAACGAAGCTTCGCGCTTTGCCGGGGAGTCGCCGCTGCTGCCTCAGCTCCCCCGTGCCGGTTAATCCCAACAGAGGGGACATGGCTCGTCTACTTACTCCAAGACCGTCGCTGGGGCAGGCAGAGGCCCCAGCCGCCTCTCATGCAGTAGCTTTCAGTTATAGTAGTTTTAGTGCTAGACAAGACTAGGAGGACGTATTTCCAGTTAGCGAGTGGGCTCTTGGCAGGTCACTTGACTTCTGGCTCATATTCTGTGTAAGTGGATACAATAAAATTAAAGAGCAAGTATAAACAAAGAGAGTTTATTTATAAAACGTCCCTGGAAGTTAATTATTCTTCGGGCTGTTACGTAAGTTTTTCAACTCCAGCTGTAGCTGTCGGATCCGTATGTCTTTCTGCGAGAGCTCGTCTTTCAGCCGCCGGATCTCATCCTGCTGTCGGAAGAACATCCGAAGGAGCTGGAAGGGAAGGCAGAAGGGAGATGGAGGGACTACACCAGCCACTCGCCCCTTGGGCCAGCCCCTGGAGCCACACTGGGGCTGTTTCATAACTTGGCTGCTTTTGCAACACGACTTTATCTGCCACCCTGCCTGCGCCCTTGGATTTAGTATTTCACTCTCCAGCTCAGGGATACCCTACACATGCAATCTGCCGCTCCAGCAAAACAAAATTCCTGCTGGGACCAAGTGCTGATGTTTCCCCAGTGCTTCCATATGTTGTTTCCAGAGAAGGATTTTAATTAAAAAAAAAAAAAACCAAAAAACCGAGGAGCTTAACATCGCTCCTTTGGGGTGCTCTGTGGTTAATGCAGAGCAGGGTGCTTGAAGTCATGAGGAAACACAGTGCCCAGGCAGTTTGGGAGTACAGAGACCTGCAGAGTCATGGCTTTCCAAGCTGCACCCAGAAAATGTCCCCCTGCAGCCAGTGACCATCCCCTCCCATCCCTGTACCCTGGGCCACCCTGCCCTACCTCATTCTCCGTTCGGGGGGGCACGTTCTCCAGCAGATCGATGCCATTAACCACAACGCTCCTCTTCTCCCTCACTGGTGCCTTAAAGACAATTTTGGATGTCTTCTTGTAGCCCTCCTTCAACGACATCAGGATGGGATCTGAGCAGGGCAGAGCGCGGGAGAGGGTCAGGGCAGGGGGGAACTGCAGTCCCATCCCACTGCCCAGCCGTTTCCAGGGCTCTGTGCCACCCCCCCGCAGCATGGCACCGGTAGCTTTACCTCTGTTCACCCCGCTCAGCCATTCATCCGGCGTGAGGGCTGGCTCCGTACCCGGAGTCATTGGGTAAATGTCCTCTTGGTACGTTTCCGACTGAAAACAAGGAGAAAGAAAAGCAACCGCCTCCGTGAATCTGCTCCCGAGTTAAACTACACGTCGCTATGCGCTGCAAGTGGCTGCGCTCACCCCTTTGGCATGCAGCACTGCAGCCACCCGGGGCATCCGGGGAACTAATAAACTGGGTGTTTGCACCGTGAAGTCAGATGAAAAATGCTGGTGCTGCCTTGCTCAGGGCACGTGGTGGCTGCCGGCACTGGGGCCAGAGGAGGACGAGCAGCAGCCGAGCCCAGGCCCAGGTCCTCCAGCCGGTGGTTGGGTTTGCTGCCAGCCTCAGACAGCACTGGGAAGGGAAATGCCAAACCCTGCTCCAGCTCCAGGATATATTTTATCAGAAACAGCCCCCAAACCTCAGGTGAGACAAGCCCCTTGTTACCTGTCACAATGGACCAAGCTGATTTTGCACAAAACAACTGCACCAAGGCCAGGAGCAATGCAGAGATGCATTTTCTATAAATATTCCCATTTTTTCTAAAAAATCCCCTAGAGAATCCCACACCTGGGAAGTGTAATGACCTGGGAGGTCTTAAGACCAGTGGAAAGAGACCCAGCAGTCAGCAAAATGGTGCCAGCCCTCCACTCCATCACACCAGCCCCCCTTCGGACACCCCCTGGACCCCGCTCGACTCCAGCAGCCTGTCCTTGTGCCCCAGGGGACTCCCTCACCCTCCTCGGCACGATCATCGAGATGGGCTCGATCAGCCCCTTGAGGGTGACGAGCTTGTAGAAACGAAAGACCTCACAGGCCGTCACATCCAGCCCATGTTTCGGCATCACCCCTGCAGAGGAGACATGGAAAATAACCCTGGGGTGACGCAAACCCTGTCCAGGCCCATCCACCTCCCCCACACCCCAAAAGGTCTTTGCTCCCCATCAGGAGACCCAGGTCTTCACTGAATTAACCCCTGCCATCACAACTGGGGACCTGGGACACAGAGCTTGGCCACACCAGGGCCACCTGCAGGGCCATCAGGAAAGGGATGAGTGGCTTTTATTCAGGACAAGTCACAGGAATCACCGACCAATGTCCTCCAATAAAGCCATGGCATGTGTGACAGCGGGAAGGGTGTCACCAGGTGTGCACCTGATCAGGACCTGGCTGAACCATGGTGGGAGGGGCAGCACAGCCACAGGAACGCTGCCCTGCAAGCACCGCAGCCTCAAACTGGTGCTCCAGAGCTGGCCCAGTGCCTGCCAAACCCCTGCCAAACCCATTGACAAGCAGCGTTTAATTAAGCACCATCTATCATCTACCTTTGGCATGTTTAGAGCAGCACAACCATCCTTACCCAGTCCTTTCTGTGGGGCTGGGGAGCGAAATTCCATGAGATAACTCAAGTAGGGCTTTTCTGAGCCAATCTCGTAGTACCGAATGTTGCCGTCGCCCTGGAGTGAGCGCAGTGAGGGATGGTTTAGTGCTTTGGCAAACACAAGGTTGAATCAAAACCATGATAACACCCAGCACCCTGTCCTTGGGAAACACTGTGGTGGGGAGCCAGGCTGGGGCCACTGCTGCATCATGCATCACCCCGCGGGATGCAACGGTGGCGGGCACCTCTCCAAACTGGGGTTTTGTGGCCCCAGAGCTGCGTGTCACGCTCTGCTTCGGGCTCAGCACAGCCCTGCTCCCCCATGATGTTCACTGGAGAGGTGCCCCTTGACCCCCCCCGGGGGGTGTGGCCCCTGTTGCTGCGGGATGCAGAGTGCAGCCCGTACCTTGCCAGCCAAGTACAGCATGTGAGTGTCGGCGTCGTAGAAAGGGAAGAGGAGACCCGAAAGCCCGTCGATCTCCTCTTCGATCAGAGGCATGGACAGGTCTTCCTGTGCCACAGGAAAAAGCATTTGATTAACCCAAAGATGCTTGTGCTGGGGGTGGGGGGGTGGTGGGTGTGCCCTGGCAGGGACAGAGCAGGGGTCCCAGCACCCACCTGGTCCCAAAGGGCGATCTGCCGCGTGTTCCAGCGCGACACCCCCGTCGTCAGCAGCCGCTTCGTGCTGCCCAGGAAGACCACCCGGTTGACACGGTGGTTCTTGCAACTGGCCTCCTGCAAGGCAGGAGCATGCTCGCTGGCAGCCCTCCCTGGCTCCCCTGTGGCCCCCAGGGCTGGCCCTCCCCCGAGAAAAGCCCCTTCCTGGGCAGGTCCCCTGACCTGCCGCCTCCCAGACAGTGAAACGCCACAGCTACTGTGATTCAGAGCCTGTTCCCTGTGCAAAACAAAAATGCCCATCTCCCTGAATATTACTGCTACCTAATACTGACTTACTGACACCTAACCACCATCTTCCTCCAAACTGTGGCTCTTTATGGAACTTTCCACTTCTTTCCCCCTAATTTCTATTGTTTTCCACAAATCCTTAATAAATGAAAGGATAAAAGCCTCCTGTGCCTGGGATGAGGCTGAGCCCTCCCCATCACCTCCAGCTAATTAAACAACCAGCAGAGAATTCTCCTCAGACCCCAACACACACAAAACATCACGAGTACGTACAGGACCTTACAAATGTTTCCACACATTTTAGGAGAATTCCTCCCCGACATCTTCCTTCTATCCCCCCCACTCGCATGCAGCTCTCAGCGACACACACCCCCCCAGCACGAGCACCGCACCTGCAGGACCCTGCCAGAGCGCGGCTCCACCACCCGCAGCTTCTTGTCCTTGCAGGTGGTGGCCAGGAGGCTGCCATCGGTGTTGAAGGACATGCAGAGGATGACATCTGTGTGGCAGTCAATCATCTTCACAGGCTCCCCGATGTCCAGGTTCCAGATAAGGACCTGTGGGAGGGAAGGAGGGAAGCTGCCCTGGTGTCTCCACTCCCAGAGATCCCCCCACCCCTCATGCAACATCCACATCTGCTTCAGGCATCTTAATATCACAGAATCAGAGCGGTTTGGGGTGGAAGGGACCTTAAAGATGACCCAGTCCCACCCCCTGCCATGAGCAGGGACACCTTCCACTAGCCCAGGTTGCCCAAAGCCCCGTCCAACCTGGCCTTGAACCCTGCCAGGGAGGGCGCAGCCACAGCTTCTCTGGGCAACCTCTGCCAGGGCCTCACCCCCCTCACAGGGAAGAATTTCTGCCTTAGATCTCATCTAAATCTCCCCTCTGTCAGTTTAAAACCATCACCCCTCATCCTAACCCTACCCCCCTGATCAAGAGTCCCTCCCCCCTTTCCTGTAGCCCCTTTCAGCCCTGGGAGGCCACTCTAAGGTCTCCCCAGAGCCTTCTCTTCTCCAGCTGAACCCCCCAACTCTCTCAGCCTGTCCTCACAGAGGGGTTCTCCAGCCCCCCGAGCATCTTTGTGCCCTCCTCTGGCCCTGCTCGAGCAGGTCCATGTCCTTCTGATGTTGGTGCCCCCGGAGCTGGACCGAGCACTGCAGGGGGGTCTCCTGAGAGCAGAGCAGAGGGGGAGAATCCCCTCCCTCACCCTGCTGCCCACACTGCTCTGGGTGCAGCCCAGCACACGGGTGGCTTTCTGGGCTGTGAGCACACGTTGCTGGCTCACAGGCAGTTTTCCACCCACCAACCCCTCCAAGTCCTTCTCCCTGGGGCCACTCTCCAGCCACTCCTCACCCAGCCTGGATTTGTGCTGGGGATCGCCCCGACCCATGGGCAGGACCTTGCCCTTGGCCTTGTTGAACTCCATGAGGTTTTCACATGCCACCTCTCCGGCCTGCCCAGGTCCCTCTGTATGGATCCCTCCCCTCAGCGTGTCACCACACCACACAGCTTGGTATCAGTGGGGAACATGCTGATCCCACTGTCTGTGTCACCAGCAAAGATGTTAAACAGTGCTGGCTCCAACCCCAGCCCCTGAGTACACCACTCATCACCACTCTCCACTGGGGAGACATCAGGCCTATTATCTCCTATTTTGGCTGAAATTGCCCCTCATCAAAGTCAGAGCTCCCTTGACTCCTCCCAGCACTGCTCTGCAGCTGCTGCTTGTGCAAAATTAAAATAATTCTTATACCAGGTGCAAGACCTGGTGGGTCACGTTATTGCAGACACGCAGGTGACTCCCACCTGCACCATAAGCAGGGAAAAGCCTTGGCAAGGGCAGCCCTGGCAGCAGCCGAGCACGAGGAGCCAGGCAGGGCTCACCTTATAGTCGTAGCCAGCGCTGAAGAGGATGTTGTTGGTGGTGGGGTGCCACTCGACGAGGCCAACACGCCGGCTGTGCCCATACAGCTCCAGGACAGCCTCTGTCATGTTCCTCTTCAGGCCACCCTCGGGGATCTCCCAGATCCGCACCTGTGAGGGGAAATATAAGGAGACTTGTAGGTTTAGATAAAAACAATTTAATAATTGAAATAAAATAAAAATAATAATGATCATAATAGTAATAACAGAATACACAAAAGAGTAATGCACAATGCGATTGGTCACTGTCCGCCATCCCAGAGGAGGGAAAGTCCCAAACCCGCAATCTCAGAAGAGCAAGAGCCAGCTTCCCAGCCAACCCTCCTCCGGACACTGAGCATAACATCGTGTGACATGGAATATTCCCTTGGCCCATTTGGGTCTGATGCTCTGGCTCTGCTCCCTCTCATCTTTTGGGCACCCTCACACTGGCATGACATGGGGAGTTGAGAAGTCCTGGGTTTCTCAGCAACAACTAAAACCTTCCATATATTATCAACATTCTCCTCACACCAAATCCCATACTGAATCCCAAACGCAGCACTGTTCTAGCTACTAAGAAGAAAAATTATCCCAGCTGAAAGTGAGACACCCGGGTTAAAAACAAGCCAGGAAAGCCTCCACACAAAAAGGGCGTGATGCATTGGGACAGAATAAGGCTTCAGTAGTGTCTCCTCTCCAATTAAAAAGCTGCAGATAATGCTATCAAAGAGCAGCTATAGATGTTTTCATCCCCATAGCAGGTTACCAGCAGGAAGCTGAAGTGACACTTGGCATTTATCTAACCCTTCTCAGTCTGCTCAAGCACCCTACACCCCTCTGAGCAGCAGCACCCAGGCTCCTGCCAGCCCCATGGCTTCCTGGAGACATGCAAAACCCAGCAGCATTTGGTGCACGTACACATCCCTGTGGTTCAAGTGAAGAGATGAAATGATGGATCTTTGCACACCCATCTCCTCCCCAGGGCAGGCAGCCTTGGCCGGCACACTCATCCTCCCTGGAGCCTTCATCTCGCCTCAGCTCTGATACCCGTTGCAGACACATCACAACGCCTTGAAGTACCACCCATTAAAAAAGTCACACATTGAACACAGCACACAGCCCATGCAGGTTCCCTTTCGCCTCCTCTACCAGCGTCCCAAAAGCTGAGCTCGCCTTCAGGTGGACGCGGTGGCTGAGGCTGAGTTGCTCCAGCGAGCATCGCTGAGTTGAAATCAAGCTTTTCCAAAATGTAGGGAATATCTGCTGCCTGAGGAGGACTGATCCTGCTGCCCCTGTGGCCGCTCTTCCCTCTCTTTTCCAGTACCCCAAAGGGTCACCTCATCCAGCCAAGGGCTGAGCTACAGGCTGGGGTGGGGCAAAATTCAATTTGCAATATTGCAGTGAAAAAATCTGCATAAGGATGTACGGGTGGAACAGTGAGTTTTTTCTACCTGAACCTGCACATTTAGAGGTTGAAGACGCTGCTCTGCAGGTTTGCAGAGGAAACATAGTTATGAAGGAGACACAAAAGAGGCTGGTATGGCTTGGAGGGCTGAGTCTGAGGGCACCAGTGGCTTGCAAACACGGCACAACATGAGGAACAAGCACTGCAACGCTGATCACCGGGTGTCGAAGGAACCAGTTACAAAAGCGTCTGGTTATGAAACAGGCTGTTACCAAACCTCCAGCTGCGCCTTGCTCTGGTGATTTGCATCCAGGATTGCTCCGAGCCAGCCCTGCACGCCGGAGAGGGACCTGCCACACGCTCACTGCTTGGGGGATGCTCCGTCAAACCCCGGGGGGTGCGGGCACAGGGAAACCTTCAGGTGCTCAGCTGCATTGCCCAGGGTCCATGCATCATCAGGGTCTGCTCAAACAGGAGCTACCTCCCACCTTCCACTGTGGGGGTAGCCTGAAGGGTGGTTATTAGATGCATCCTGCCTCCATGTGCAGCTGGGAATCGTCACTGGGCTCCACAGAGCAGCATCAGCTCCATGCTCTGCTCCTAAGCTGCATGGTTCCTCATGTCTTGCAAAAAATGTGGGTGAGTGCCAGGGAGGGGCTAGCTGAGGCAGGTTTCTCCATTACCACGGTCACTGTGGACATTTCAGGACCAGTTGCACTACTAATGCCATTCTGGTGCCAGTATGGACATAGCTGGAGCTAACCCAGAAATCAAACACTGTTTCACAACCTTGTCCTGTCCTGGGATATAGATGATGCTTTTGGAAAATTCCGGTTAAAAAAAAAGACCCAGAGGAACAGCCCTCGAAGCACCTTCCTCCACCTCCTCCTGGGACACCAAGGAGAGCAGCCAGGGTAGGACATAGCCTGTGAAACTGGGGGCTTCCTCCCCCAACCCACCCCAAGAAACCTTCTTGAGACAATTTCCCCTGAAAGGCTCCTTTCCAAAAAGAAATGTATCCTGCCAACAAAACACCCTATTGCAAAATCCTGCCCCCCCTCCATCCCTGCCTGCCACATCAGCTCCCCGTGTCTGAGTGCACAGAGCAGTCCAGCACAAGGGAAATACAGAGCCCAAAACACCTACAGAAATCAGGTAATTCCCCTTTTAATCTTCCTGCTTGGCTTGTCCTGCCCTTTAGAAGCTCTTTCCTCAAAAGCCTTCACAGCATTTCAGCAGCTCGCAACACCAGGGTGGGGACTAGGAACATGGAACATGAACACCGTGGCATCCCATGAGAGTGTGTCAGGTGAGGACAGATGCCGTTATCTGAGCAGGGACAGACAGGATATGGGTTGGACAGCAAAGGAGAAATTACAGAAGGTGTTTCAAGCAGGGTGGGCTGCGGGAGAGATCCCTCTCCAGCAAGGCAGCAACAAACCATGGCCATTAATATCAGGTGCTGACAAGATGTAAAATCCTCTGCCCCCCCAGAAGAGGACAAGCCTGTGGGGATGTCTGGGGGGACAAGGCCACACACATTCTCTTGTGATGGAGGAAAGCCAAGAGTCTGGAGCAGGACTGGCCAGCTGCATCGCTGTGCTTGTGGCAGCTCCTCTGTCTCCCCTGCCATGGTGGTGTCCTCAAGCCCGAGACCAACGGTGCACCCGGGTGACAAATACCATGTAAATACTCTATTTTCTCCAGCTCGGATTCCATGAGGACCTGGGCATCCTCACTCTTTGATAAAGACTATTAGTCTGGACTTCATTAAACCTCTGGGGAGCTAGCAGGGAGCACACAAAGGTGCAGGACCTGCCCATAAGCAGCACGCTGGGTGTGGGGTAGCACCAGGAGTCCACCCTGCTGTGGGGCTGCTCCCCTCCAACTCATCCTCACCAGGGGGATCCCCCCCGCACCAGACAGCCTTGGGCCAATTAACTTAATTTTGCAGGTTTAACAACAGATCATGAAGTCTTCCCAGTATCCTCTCTCCCTCCCAGCACCTCCTACTCCCCAGCAACTGTATATAAAAGGTTATAATATAAAGTGGGAGACAGCTCACCATGATTCATGACCATGATCTGAATTTTTTCCCCCCACTCAGTATCTTCCTCGACAAGCCTTCAGCTAATAAAACCCGCCAATATACTGAAGGAGAGGATGAGACAATAGGGATAATACAGTAAAATGCTAAGGATCAGGCAAGGCAGATTTGTAACTGGTTAAAAACTGGATCATCCGAAACCCAGGCCTCTGCCATGCAGAATGGGTGATGGTTTCTGGTTCCTCGTACAAAGGGTTTTTTTTTCCTTTATGACACAGCCTTTGGGATGGACTTGATTGAGTCCAGAAGATAAAAAGGAGAAGGATACAAATAACAGCTACATAAAGATGACCTGATTCACTATCCCCCAGCCTGAAAAACTGCCTTTTGCTCCTGTCACTTGATGGATCAGGCCATGAGAGTGGTTGCAGCCCCTGCGAAAAAAAAAAAAAAAAAAAAAAAAAAAAGACCTCATTGTGCACAGCTGTAGAGCTTATCTGCAGTGAGGGACGCAGAAAGAGCAGCGCTGTGACAATAAGTGACACTGGGGACAGTAGAGGAGACAGGCACCAGCCACAGTCCCTGCACCGCTGACACAGGAGCCAGGGATTGGCACAATTTGCACCTCTGTGCATCTTAATTAAAAGCAGAAGGGTGCCCGGAGCTGTATGATGCCTGGGAAGTGTCAGCCTGAAGCATCCCAGCTCACCGAGGTGTCTTCGGAGCATGATGCGATGATGTTCTCAATGAAGGGATTCCACTTGATGTCCAGCACGTTGCCCTGGTGACCGCAGACCTTGGGGTAGTTTGGTTCGATCCGGCCTGTCTGTAATTTAAAATAAACCAAAAAAATTAGGAAAAAAATATTTAGTGATAAAGTTTGTCTTTTTAAGGCTCTTAGGGGAGAGAGCTCCGTAGCCCACCCCAGGACAGAGTTTTTTGGCTGGAGGAAATACCTGACTGAATTGGGGATTGGTTTTGCCCCACTGATATGCCCAGGGCTTCTGTATGAGAAGGGGTTTCTGCAACCACAACTCCACGGGGCTGCACCGTTCAGCAGGAAATCTTTGTACGACCACCCGAAACCATGGACAAAAGGGCTGGAAGGGGCTAGAGGGGCTCCAAATGGATCCTTGGGCCTTGAAGTAGATCAACCATCGGGTCACACATGAAATGGTTGGTACTTCTCACCCAAGTTTTGGAAGGGATGTCGAGCAAGGACAAATCCCCCGTGACTTTGAGATCATTGACCCTCTTGCTTAAGGACACAAATAACCCATCACACCACTTGACAGGATCCTTCCAGATGGATGGAAATCCTTGAAAGACTTGGGGACAGTCCGCTCTGGCCACCCCAGTAGAGCAAGGACAGCACACAGCACTCGGCACAGACCCCTGTTCAGGCTCCCCTCTCAGGGGGGCTGCTGGACCCCCCTGCTCCTTGCAGGAACATTGCAGGGTGTCTCTGCAACTGGCCACCCCATCACCCTTCCTTCCCCCATGCTGGCTCCTCGCCACAGCCCGGAGGTGGTGGCATGTTTGAAGCATGCAAACTAACTAGGTCAGCACAACACAGCCGCTAAATATTTCATAGCCCTTCCAGCACTGACCTTTTAACGTATCCAGCTCCCAGCTCCATTTAACACAAACAAAGAAACAGCACCGAGGGTAACACGCTGCGGTTTTACCAGCCACAGCTAAAGGCAATGGCCGGGAGTGCTCTGGGCAGCCAGATCAGGCCCAGGGCTCACCCCTGCGCTGTTGCTGCTGGGAAGGTTTAGCTGAATTAATTTGCTCCCAGGGAAACACGGCTGCTAATTGCCAGGCAGCCACAGTGCCTGCCCATGGTCGGTCACTGCTCCAGCGAACATGGGCCAGCACGGGATGCATGGGCAGAGCAGCTCTGCCTGCCTGGATTTGGCAAGGCAGAGATGGAGATTCAGAAAACCACTGCACCGAGAAACACAGGCAAACATAAACCTCCCCAAGCCCACTTTGTCAATTTTTAAAATAATCTTCACAGGCATTATTAGTGAAAAGTCAGTTCTTGCTGCTCAAATTGCTACAACAGCTCTAAGTCAGCTCGTGGACACATATATAAGATGAGAACTAGGCTGACCTTAAAACACCGGTGACTTGGTTATATGGGTCATTTCAGTTATGAAGGTAAAGGAAAAAAAAATAGGTGCCCGCTTTCACTGCCTTCAGTACATGAACAAACAGACCCCTTCAGCTCCATCACTTGGCCCGGTAACAGGGTCACGGGCAAGCCGTTCCCCCCTTACAAACACTCATTAATTCCCCAGCATGGCAGGCACGGGATCGCAACCTCGTTAGCCAGCCTGTGATGAGCACTTAACGCAAGACTGATTTCTAACTCATGAGCTTCTTTCTAATTAGGGCACGTAATTCCCTACCCATGCAGCACAGGGTTCATTTTCCCCTCGGTGATTGATACCCGTCAGTGTGATTTTAACCTCTATTAGGGCTAATTTCAGGGGTGTCAGGGAGAGATGGATGGAAGAGCCAGGATGGGGCAGCTGCACCCGCCGCCTCCTTCAGCTGCTGACAGCATCGCTTCAGCTTGCTCAAAGAGCCTAAATTTTGATCATTCTGCCCATCAGCAACAATCTGGCACAGATCTGAGCTGCCACGTCAGCCCTGGACCCTTAACTGCCTCCTGACAACCACTAACACATTTTCTTCCCTGTATTTGCCCCAGACAAGCAGCAGCAATCAACATACACAACATTTCTGACGTTATTGAATAGCTCAAAGGGTGTTTTCCTGGGTAATGCCCCAGACTTGGCTTTTATAAGGGCTATTATAAATCACTTCAGGTTTTTAGGGATAAAAACAAAGTGACATTTTGACAGTTTTGCCAGGGTGACCCAAACCTCTGGCAGCTGGTGGCTCTGGATGATGCAATCCTGAACCCCCTCCTGCCCCCAGAATACTTTTCTTTGCCTAGATTGTGACAATGACCACTGCAAACCCTGGAGTATCCCATAGGAAAGGCAACACCCACAGATTTTAAGTTTTCCTTTTACCCAGTGGCAAAAACAGCCCCTTGGGAAGTCTCCATCATACCAAACCTGCATGGTGGGGGACAACAGCCCCCAGCTTCTTGGGGATCCCCCCAAGACACTAATATCTCCATGCTAGGAGCCAATGGTCCCCAGGAAAACCGAGGCACAAGGAGAAGCATCGACTGACCAAGCGCTGAGAGTACATGGGCCACAACGCAAAAAAATCATTAGAGAAGACAAACCCTTTGTTTAAATGAAAAAAAAGTCTTCCCGATGCAGACCCTAGAAAGCAGATTTGATCAAAAAATTAGTTTTCTTCTAAATTGAATTTTCCAAAAGGGAGGGGAAGATATAAGAAAATGTTACTTTTTGCTAAAAGCATCTCAATATCTAAAACCAGCATTCACATTCACTCTGGATCCCAGTACCTCGGGTGCCTGTGCTGGGCTGGGCACCCAGGAGGGGCTGTTTGCCCTGATGGGTGGTCAGGACACAGGGCAACAGCTGCCCATTGCTGGGGAGACCCGCAAAGCCCCTGAGTCAGCTACTGCCTTCACCCAAACTTCACTGCAAAAATCATGCCACAAAAAGTTACAAAGAAAAATCTCATTTTTCACATTCTTTAACTTTTCCCATGGGGAAAAAAAAAAAAATGACACCCTCCTTTCCCAGGCAGGGAGAGCTCAGTCATGTACTCTGCAGCCCTGAAGAGAGGATGAGGTGCTTTGGGTCTCCTCCTGCACACAAGCATCACACAGAGCAAAGCATGAGCTTCAGGGACACAGTCCCTGGGATAAGCAGACAAGATTTGGGAAAGAAAAAGCCCAGGGTGAGGCACAGAAGGAAGAGGGAAACACAGCAATGTCGGTGCTTCGTTAGAGCACGAAGCTCTGGCTCCCAGCACCATGCAGCGACCCTCCTGTGAATTAATGGGATGGAAAGCACTGCTTTATGGGTTAATAAAGTACACTAGCAGACACTGCTTACCCAAACAGCTCAGATGATCTAGCTTTCCCCCTATTTTCATATTTGCATTAGCATGACATTATTAACACACTGTCTAGAGTAGAAATTCATGCAGCAGCTGCTAAATTCCAGGCAGACAGACCTTTTAACAGCACAAGTTAATATGCAATCACTTTAATTTTGAGCAACCAGCCAAGTGGTTTCCTCTGCAAAGTAGGTTTTTATCAAAATTCATTAGGCCTTCAAGAGAACAAACCAGAGTTTGGTTACTAGGAATAGTTTCTGCCCAAGAAATCAAGAGTTTTGATTAAAATTAGTCAAATGCAGCCAACACACAGGAGCTGCCATGGTGTCCGCAGCAAGGGACAGCCTGTGTGTGAGAGCAGGGGCAGGTTGTGCCTGTGGCACCTGAAAAGGGAGAAGGAGCCAAATAAAGGAAATAAAAAGCAAAAAATAAATTAAAACCCAAGGATTCATGCCACAGCTTCCCATTTAGCCATTCTTAGAGGGACTTCGCCAGCAGCCGTGCATTAAGCTGTGGTGAATCCTAATCGCTGGATCCCTGACGCCTGGCCAGGGGAAACTCGGGTGACCCAGATACTGTCCCTTCAGCGAGAGCATGTCGGGCCATGGCTCTCTGAGCTCCAGCAGCTCTGATATTTTCCAAGACATGTGCTGGAAGGAGCAAGCCTTCCAGCAACTTCAGCCCCTTGAAGCCCTCCCTTTGCTGGAGTAATTAAGTGCACTTGAAAAGGAGCCAGTTATTTGTATTCTTGCTGGGTGAGAAATGGAAGAAAGGACAATGAATTTTTTAAGCTGGTTGAATTCAGGTATTTTGTGGCTCAGTGACCGAGGAGGAAGACTTCACCTGGAACAGCTGGAGCAGCAGCAAGGGCAGAGCCCAGGCGGGATGGACACACAGCCTGGGAGGTCAGACCGCCCCGGGAAGGGGAACACCATCACTGATAGGAGCAAAGCCTCTTTATTCTTAAAAACATCCCTTTGAAGCACTCTTAAGTCATCAAAGCATTGCTGTGAGCAGCGTGAGCTCACGAGTAATTCCAATAGCAGGGTCCACCTCTGAACCATTGTCAGAGTCAAGCAATAGGAAGCATTATCACTCCACACCCTCCAAGCAGCACAAGTTTCAATGGCAGGGCTCCACCCTTACTTCACCACCAACCAGCAGGAAACCCGGATTAAATAATTTTAATAGATGTAGTTCATAAAACCTGCTTCTCACCAGGTTCCCAGGAAATACACATCCAGAACGTTTTCCAAATCCTTCTGTTTCCCATGAAGTGTGACAAGAATCTTTTTATTCAACTCTACCTTCAAACCAGCTGTGTAAGGAAAACTTTACAGAAATAATAGCAGCATCCATGCCAGCACCCATCCCTGAGGGAGAAGCCTCCCGAGGAAGGAGCACCCACCCCCAGCCTGGGGACAGGCCAGGCCACCCGTCCCCACCCAGCAGCTTCCTGATCCCTAACTAGCTCTTAGAGGGGGCTCAGGGAAACGCTGCCTGAGGCTTAGGGGATTTACAGGGTTTCCCAGGAAATCCTTGAGTACACACAAGTCTCTAGTGGCTGAGATTAAGAGTAAATACATTTACTGCTGTCTTTTTAAAGAAGGGCTCTCCTACTCGAGACCTAAAGAGGAGGAAATTACACAGATTTCCCTGACCCAGGGCACCTCCCTGGCTGACTGGGGTACAAGGGAAGGTCGCTGCAGGTTAACTGATCCTCCCTCATTAGGAACCAAGTCAAACAGAACCAGCACAAGAGAGGGAGAAATGGGAGGAACCCTTGTCAGGGCCCCAGACAACTCG